ATGAAGGAGAAAAGAACATGCCATATTCAAGACCAATGCCACTGGCTAATTCAATCTGTAGCTTCAAAAAATTATCTAGACTATTTTAGGACATTGTGGCTGGTTCCTTTCAGCTGGAAAGGCAGGATCCTTCTGCTGTCTCCCCTTACTTATGGATCTAACACTTTCAGCCCTTTTTAATGAGAGGAGCATTGTCCACATGCCTGATATTAATTTATTAATTCATGACCTACCGGAATGACCCCAGGTGAAGAGATAAGGGAACTAATTGTTCATTTAAAATCTGGAAAAGCTCCTGGACCTGACACTGTTCCACCATGCTTACTAAAATCTGATCCAGGTTGGTGGGCCTCACTTCTGACCCCTCTTTTTACAATGATAGACAAAACAGGCATCACATCCAAAAGCTGGAATACGACAATAGTTGCCCTTACTTATAAAAAGAGAGACCATAGATCACCAGATAACTAATATCTATCATTGGCAAATTGTATGCAAAACATTTATTAAATAAACTCAACCACTGGATTAGGAGACATTACCAGGCAGCTCGACATGAGATCATGGCCATGTTTTGTCACATTTTATTAATAAATAGATTAAGGTAGCCAGTGCTAAGTTTATGTAGCCCTTCCAGACCTAAAGAGTATGTTCAATTTGGTGGACAGAGCAATGTTATAAGACAAACTGTACAATTTAGGCATAGATAAAAGATTGCTTTCTTCGTTGTTTAGTCGCTTAGTCGTGTCCGACTCTTCGTGACCCCATGGACCAGAGCACGCCAGGCCCTCCTGTCTTCCACTGCCTCCCGGAGTTGTGTCAAATTCATGTTGATTGCTTCGATGACACTGATTGCTTCGATGACACTGTCCAACCATCTCATCCTCGGTCGTCCCCTTCTCCTCTTGCCTTCACATTTCCCCAACATCAAGGTCTTTTCCAAGGAGTCTTCTCTTCTCATGAGATGGCCAAAGCATTGGAGCCTCAGCTTCAGGATCTATCCTTCCAGTGAGCACTCAGGGTTGATTTCCTTTAGAATTGATAGGGTTGTTCTCCTTGCAGTCCAGGGGATTCTCAAGAGTCTCCTCCAGCACCACAATTCAAAGACATCAATTCTTCAGCGGTCTGCTTACTTTACAATCCAGCTCTCACTTCCATAAATCACTGCAGGAAAAACCATAGCTTTGACTATTCGGACTTTTGTTGGCAAGATGATGTCTCTGCTTTTTAAGATGCTGTCAAGGTTTGTCACAAGAAGCAGGTGTCTTTTAATTTCGTAGCTGCTGTCTTCATCTGCAGTGATCATGGAGCCCAAGAAAGTAAAATTTGTCACTGCCTCC